TCATTTTACTAAACTCGTAAACCTATTCGATTCCTTTGAGCCTATTTTTATCTCGTCATTAGGATTTGTACACTTTCCCCAGGTTGATGTGTTTCTTTTGAAAAACAGATTTATGTCCATCTTCCTTCTGTCACTTTTTCGTTGTTCACCCCATTAACCCACCAAATTATCCGGATTGAAGTCTACTTAGGAATAGCAATGGCATTTTTTTTTACGGTTTCGAAGAGGTGATTTTTGAGTAACATGTTCTGGTATGGTGGCACTACCCCGGTTACTCTCTAAAACCTCAGAAATCACACTACGATGTGGACACTTTCCTGCCTGGGTTTTCAGGCGACTGCGACAAATAACTCTTCGTGAGTGAGTTCGGTTCTTTCAAATCTGATCTCGGCATTGTTAATAACTATTTCAGAATTCAGGATTGAGGTGGATATCAACGGTCGACCTTTTGTGCTAGGCTTTTTTATTTTTGCTATGGAGGATTGGGACACCTACTTCAAGTTGATTCACCTTGTACTGTAATGATGCCAGGTGTGTCAAAGGCGAAGGAGTTGGTCTTTTGAATATATTTAGAAAAGAGCCATCGGTATAACACTCAAAGTGTCTTTGAGAGTGTTACAGGGTCTACGAGCCTTGAGGCAGCTTTCTCATCGTCAGTTTTTTAAATATATAGGACTAGGGTCAATTTATGATAAACTAAACGTGCATAATCAAGCCAACTATAACCTATTAAACATTAACGAATGATTTGCGTCACCGATTTCGTTTACAGACTACGAAGATGATCGGTCCTCCTGTACCTCCTCTACAACACCCAAAACTTTCGAGGAGCCTACAGAAGATGAAGACGAAGAGGAGGATGACGATCACAAAGGCGTCAGTGACGACGAAATTGGTGTGCGAGCTCTACTTCCAACTTCAGCTCGCCTCAAATGTCCACCTGCTGATGCGACAGCGCTTTTGTGCGATGAAAATGGAGATGAGGATAGCGACAATTCCTTTGCTTCTTCCTCATCTGCCTCTTCTAGTTCTCAGGAGTCTTCCCCTTCCCCATCTTCACGATCTCCCTCCTCAGCGTCATCGCCAGTGCGATCACCACGAGTTGGAAGCGTCTCTTCGGCATCACCAAGGTATTCCATCCAGCGTGTTTGTTACCTCGTATGGGTTAAGGTGGAATCATTGACGCCCTATTGGGGCATCACTGCGAGCAATGAAAAACGGTAGCGTTGATTGTATGAGCTTGATGTTGTCCAAGTGATATGTCCTCAACTCTGAAACAAGCGTAAATGTTAGACGACTGGCTCTTAAGTTTGGTGATTTTGATGTAGCTCTAACTTTTCCAAGTACTTGCTCAGTCTCACCTTTTGTTTTCCTATTTCAATGCAGAAGTTCGTTAACGCGTACAAAGAACGTTCCAGGGCTAACTCAATTCTGTATAATAAGTAGATACTTGAAGACCCTCTTCTACTTCATAAAATACAAGCTGAAGACATTTTATCAGCCCTTTTATTCACATACTTGCCAAACATTCTAAATGTCCATAATTTTTCCCAAGTCAGTCTTCTGCAGTTGATGCAGTACGTGCAGTAGGAGTGGGTGGGTTACTTGGGATAATGGCTGATAGTAAACGATTTTCCTTCGAAATTTGTTTCTCACAAATAAATCTCGAGTTAACCAATAATTCCACGCAATTTCTCACTATTTCCTAGGTCTGAGACACCTCAAACGACTGATTTGCCTGATTACATTTGATTTAGACCAACCTCAGGTAATTCCTTTAGCCAGATTATGTTATGTGGGATGATTTTTGTCTCGCAACCTCGGAACCCGGGCTGAACTCGGTCCTTCCTATGGCAGGCATGGTCGACTTACATTCATCAAGATAAATCAGCAGAAACATGGTGGTGTAAGCGTTGGTAACGGAGGATAAGTTGTATATCACAGTAAAGTCTGGCGTTTCGTGCTGGCGGACTGACCTGTAACCGCCTTTTAGGCGGTAATCCAAACGGAGGCTGTTTTGGAGTTATAAGTAGGAACTTTTACGGTATTCCATTGCCACCCTACTGTATTCCACGTCTTAACAAAGTGCTTTTTATCTTAATTAAATCTTACATCGTTACAATATTCACCCGGGTCGGTAAATCCCATCCCAAAATGCTGATTGTACAGTCATAAGTTGTTCTATGCCTGTAATCATTACTTATCACACATTCGCGGTCTGCGAACCTTTTAATAAGTTATCACTTCCAATGGAAATGTCAAAACCATTAATTAGACTAACTGTACAAAAATGTTCTCATACATTTTTGTTGATACTGTGAACTTTATGTCACGGCATTATCACGAGGTCGATTACATTATTTATGTTGATTCTAAGCTGGTGCGCCTCTCCGACAGTTGTCGTGTATGCCTGTCAAATCTCTGCATTCGACAGTATAGGCATCTTAAACCTGTGAGGTTTATTTTATTAGGAAGTGATGGCGATTACTAGAGCATTAGCAACTTCTCTGTCAATGACTACAGTATTTTGCAGTACGTCGTCGCAAAAGACGGCTCTCTTCTATGTCGGTGAGGTTACATGTATCTTGTCTTATGTCTATCTTTCTTGTCTGGCTCGACGATTTGGAAGGAAAAATTCCCCTCAGAAGTACTTTTGACTAGCTAATCTGAGGGGATGAAAAGCTCTCTCCTTTCACAATCAATAACAAACGATCACCTATCTTTGGCATAGTTTGTTCTGGATAAGTTGGAGAAGGCAATCCGGATGTAGGAGGGTATTGACATTTTGGTGTCACTTCATTCTCAATCTCGGATCACGTTTTTTCTGGTGGATAGTACCTGTCCTTAACGTTTATTGGTCACATGCGAAGTTAGGCAAATTAAGGCAGGCGAGTGAGATGCTAGCAAGAAGATGCCTAAACTTGCAGTTTTTATTGGCATAAGGAAGGTAAAGTTGATTGTACTTTTGGGTTTTGTCGTTAAGGCATTAGATAGTAGAGTGCAATGAGCTGCGTACTTGTAGAAGTCCACTTTTTATTACCATTCTACAAAATAAGTCATTCTAGTTGCTTTGTGTCTAATGCTACGGGATAACGCCTGGAGTTAAAATTCTGCGCCCATTTTACTTTTGCCTCAGTCGCTTTAGTCGACTTTTGAAGGCCGACTCTACAAGAAAATCTGAGGTGGTCATGAATAGTATTGACTAGCTTTGCCTGATCGGTAGATTTTCTGACTGTCTCTGCTTCTTATGGTGATTGAGCTGAAATTTCGGCCGTAGGCTGGAGGAACACGCTTTTCTTTGGAGAAGAGTTTGTTGATTTGCACAGCATTGCAAGTGGTGTGACGATGGTCGTCCTGTTCTGTATTTTACCTGGCGACTGCAATGGCTCAAAGCTATTTTCTACTTTTGGTAAAATGACTTCCACTCTTTTTTTGAACTAGCATTTGCATTAATAAAATTATCATCTAAATTTTCGCAGCGGCAGCAATCCCGGTCACTGATCAATTTTCGATTGATTTCAGGGTCAAGGCTCTTGAGCCGGCAGAAGTTCTGAGTAAATTCACCCACCAGAGTATTGAGGATATCCTCTCCCTTTCTCCCAGTCGTCGACGTCGACTATTGGCTAGATTGGTCCGTACGGCAAAGTCGACAAACTACACCCTACTGCGATTGAACAACGAATTGGCGGGCGAGTTACAGGAACTCTGCGACCAGCACACAAGTCTGAACGCGCAGGTTCGACATCTCTCGGAGCTGAGAACGTGAAAGTCAAAAACGAATGCTCCTGTTTATTTTCAGCATCTGTACTTAGCTTTGCATCACATGGGGTTGGGTATCTTCTGGTTCTCCCCCTTTTGGCGCCTTGGCTGACTCTTTGCATCTGCCATTCAATGTGGTGGTCTGGTTGAGAAAGGGTTGGAACCGATGAGTCAGTCGCGTGGAGAGATCGAAGTCCCCTGGTGGGGGTCTGTAAGCTATAGGCCTCAAATGGGGTGGAGTGGTCGGGGGCAGCGTGGACGTGTTGGGAGTGGGCGAGGTGGCATCGTCGGGTGGGGTGGGTCATGGTAACAACGTGAGAGTCAACAAAGTCGGTGGGGGTATTTCATTATCGGGGTGGGGTATCTGAGCGCCGACGTGAATGGGCATCTGGGATTGCCTCAAAAATGTTGCCCTTGTTTCAAGTGGCAGTGCGCATCTTTAAAGCATGGTTTATACAATGTCAGTAATCTGGTAAATTAAGCATGTCAAAAAATAAAATAAATATAACAAAACTGCACTTAAGGCTTAAAGATTTTAACTGTACGAGAAATTTGTTTAACACAACCTCTAAGCCTGTTTACTCAAAGAATCTTTTTATTCCATTGGGTAATGCGTGACCTACTAGTGCAACTTCGCTTTGAAATAGGATGAAGAACACGAAAGACGTGACACCTGATTACTCATTTAAGGCAAGTTGAAATTGCGAAAATCCGCACAACTTGAGATG